GACCAGTCCAGACCAGTACAAACCAGTCCAGACCAGTACCGGCAGTCCCAGGACCCCCAGCTCAACCAGTACAGACCAGTATAAACCAGTACAGACCAGTACGGACCGGTCCAGACCAGTACGGACCAGTCCAGACCAGTACAGACCAGTATAAACCAGTACAGACCAGTACAGACCAGTATGGACCAGTACCGGCACCTGTAGCCACCCCAGCTTGACCAGTATAAACCAGAATGGACCAGTATAAACCAGTACAGACCAGTACAAACCAGTCCAGACCAGTACGGACCAGTACAAACCAGTCCAGACCAGTACCGGCAGTCCCAGGACCCCCAGCTCAACCAGTACAGACCAGTACAAACCAGTACAAACCAGTATGGACCAGTCCCGGCACCCCTAGCCACCCCAGCTTGACCAGTATAAACCAGTATAGACCAGTCCAAACCAGTACGGACCAGTCCAGACCAGTATAAACCAGTACAAACCAGTATGGACCAGTCCCGGCACCCCCAGCCACCCCAGCTTGACCAGTATAAACCAGTATAGACCAGTCCAAACCAGTCCAGACCAGTCCAGACCAATCCAAACCAGTCCAGACCAGTCCAGACCAGTACTGGCAGCCCCAGGACCCCCAGCTCAACCAGTCCAGACCAGTATAAACCAGTCCAGACCAGTACAGACCAGTACGGACCGGTCCAAAGCAGTACCGGCACCTGTAGCCACCCCAGCTTAACCAGTATAAACCAGTATGGACCCATACAAACCAGTACAGACCAGTATAAACCAGTACGGACCAGTCCAGACCAGTACCGGCACCTGTAGCCACCCCAGCTTGACCAGTCCAGACCAGTATAAACCAGTACAAACCAGTATGGACCAGTCCAGACCAGTCCAAACCAGTCCAGACCACTCCAAACCAGTCCAGACCAGTACGGACCAGTACCGGCAGCCCCAGGACCCCCAGCTCAACCAGTACAGACCAGTCCAGACCAGTATAAACCAGTACAGACCAGTACGGACCAGTACGGACCAGTCCAAACCAGTACTGGCACCTGTAGCCACCCCAGCTTGACCAGTATAAACCAGTATAAACCAGTACAGACCAGTACAAACCAGTACAAACCAGTATGGACCAGTCCCGGCACCCCCAGCCACCCCAGCTTGACCAGTATAGACCAGTATAGACCACTACGGACCAGTACAAACCAGTCCAGACCAGTATGGACCAGTAAAAACCAGTACTGGCACCCTCATCCACCCCAGCTTGACCAGTATGGACCGGTATAAACCAGTCCAAACCAGTAAAAACCAGTATAGACCAGTATGGACCAGTAAAAACCAGTAAAACCAGTCCAGACCAGTATGGAGCAGTACAAACCAGTCCAGATGAGTAAAAACCAGTATAAACCAGTATAGACCAGTATGGACCGGTACAAACCCGTCTGGACCAGTCCGGACCAGTACAGACCAGTAAAAACCAGTCCAGACCAGTAAAAACCACTAAAAACCAGTCCAGACCAGTAAAAACCAGTAAAAAACCAGTATAAACCAGTAAAAACCAGTCCGGACCAGTAAAAACCAGTAAAAAACCAGTATAAACCACTAAAAACCAGTCCGGACCAGTAAAAACCAGTATGGACCAGTAAAAACCAGTAAAACCCGCTAAAAACCAGTAAAAACCAGTAAAAAACAGTAAAAACCAGTAAAAAACAGTCTGGACCAGTAAAAACCAGTAAAAACCAGTAAAAACCAGTAAAACCCACTAAAAACCAGTAAAAACCAGTAAAAACCAGTCCGGACCAATAAAAACCAGTAAAAACCAGTAAAAACCAGTAAAAACCAGTCCGG